TTTGCCAAAATGATTCTTTTTAAAGTCCCAACATATAGTTTAAATACTGGTAGTAAAAATAATGGTGTGAAAATCTACAAGAAAATATGTAGAACTCCTGTTTAAACATCTTTGAATTACAGATTAAATAAAAGACTAAAGTAGCCTAAAATTCTGAACCCAGTCCATCTTCACATGTTACAAAGAAGATTAAGCCTTGATCCAAATTCTTCTTAGTTTAGCTTCAGTGTCACAAATGGATTTCCAAATACCCCATAGTGTATCCTTCCAGAAAACATGTTATCTCCTGAAAATAACTAGATAGCTATATTGGAAAACCAGAAAGCATTAATTTAATAAATAGGCTTCCCAGTGTACATTGTATCTGACTGACTCTAACAGTGACCAGGATTTCAATTTTCAGATGGAATGAAGTGCTTTTCATGCATGTGTGATCTATATGCATGCTTTATAGATGAGATTTAGTCATAACTTCTTCAGGTGTCAATGGCAAAAAGAAAGTTCTTGTTACAAGAGTTTTCTCATGCTGCTCTTCCTAGTGGATCTGCATTACTTATTCTGCTTTCCTTTATATTAGAATAAAAAATTTGACTGAAATTTTTGAACTTTGGAAGTTAAGCAATATAGATTTTTTCCTACCCGCTTCCATAACCAAAGGAAAAGTTACCAGGGTCATTGACTCCAGATAAACAACTGATCATTCACTGCTAGGATATGCTGCTTTAATACAGTGCCAGAATGTGATTTCTGTTCCTCACTTTGGTGCTGCTTTTTGTGATCTTTATCAAGTCATTACATGCACTGGGGAACACTGAGTTCCTAAAATCATCAGTGCAGACAAATACAGAAATGGATTCTCTTTGACTCTGTGGCAGTGATGCTCCAAAAAGTATATGCTTAATTTGAATGTCTAAAGGTAGATGGAAAAAAGCCAGGTATTGGTGAAAACATCAACTTCTTGAGTGATTGCTCTTCCTTACCAGGTAAATAAACAAGGGGACATACATTGGTCACACTTCTAAAAACTTCGGACATCTGAAGTTGCAGAGAGGGGATGTGTTGTTCTAGCAATACCAAGGCTCTGAGAGTCCACGTACGTAACTGGAAATTCACAACTTGAACAAGTTTGAAAATATGGGTGGTCACCTAAGGGTCCTGAGCCTTTCTTGTAATCATGTGAGTAGTCCCACTTGTTTCTGTCTTACATTTTCAGTCCTATTGTACTGAAGATGCTGTTGATTCCAGCTGAATTTAAATGGCACATGAATGCCTTACACCTGCAAGTGGTAGCCCATACTGAGACTTGGACTGTTAGTGCTGGTGATGTGAAATATTAGCCATGGCTTGGTTCTCTTGCATCACTGATAGTTTTTAATGTACCCTTATAAAAAAATAAAAGATTAAAACTCAGCAGAAAACCATCATTATCTGTTTTGATTCAGCACTACCTAAAAGTAATCTCTTGGTTTGCTCAACCTGTGTGTATCTGCACTGAACTGTTTCTTTCCCTCTGTTGTGATTAGATCCTGCTGGCTTTGTCAGGAATCTGGAATCTGAAAAAATGTCTTTCTGACCTCTCGTTGCTTACCAGTGCTGAACCAGTTATGTGAAGGTGGCAGAGGAGTGAAATCCTCTGTAGGAGTGTTGGTGAGAATGGCAGTGGGTAGACGTTCCAAGGAAACGCTCAGGACAGTGGCTCACCTCCTCGGCAAACCAAACAGTTTGCCAGTGTCACCCATGCTGTGGCTAAATGACTAGAGTGAAAATTTAGGGGGAAAGGAATGATTCTCGTGCTGTAATTGTACAACGCTCTCAACAGTGTTACACTTCACAAAGGCACAGTTGATCAACAATAAGCCACACAAGCAGAGACTGATTGTTCATTTATTAAAATCAGCAATTATCCTTTTTAGCTGTAGATCCACTTTGTTGAGAGCTGTTACATATTTATACTGCTAACATCTCTCTATCCAAATGGTATTAATTGGATTGTTTTTGTAAGAGTGTGCTTCAAGGACAGGGTCACTTCTTTGCGAGGAAAGGGGCCTGGATTTAGTGCCAGGCAAGGTCATGGTGGGACAACAGTCTGAGCAACTGTGGCATCCCAAAATGCTACCAAAAGTGGGTGCTGCATTTATTCCTAACCTGCACAGTGTATCAGAGGTGGAGAAGGTGAAGGAAGGCTGCTTTTCTCCTCCACTGCCCTCCTCCAGGAGCACGAATTTCTCACAAGATGGGAGCAGGTGGAGGGAGAGACCACACTGAGGTAAAACACCTGAGCCCTGTGAAGAGGGACCCATACTCCATCCACAGATCCCCACTACCATGTCCCAGGATTTACCAAAGGGTGATAAATCACACAGATACAAATAATTGCTACCAGTGCCTGAATTAACTGGGCTTAGAAATATGAGAAATGCTAAAAAGTCCTTTCCATGCGATCTGCCAGTGTAGAGAGAGCATCTGATGGGAAAGTGCTTCTGCTCTCGGGTTTGGATCTGTTAGCAGTTGCTTTCTCTAACAAAGCAAATATTTGGTGACAGAACTAGATGTAGAAAGTGCTTCATAGTAGGGAAGTGTGAAGTATTCATAATGATATGAAATACTACTCAAAATTCAATGTTTTTCACATTTTGTTGCAAGCTTAAACATTGGACTCGTGTCACAGAAATTTCTGCTGCAGTAGACACAATTTCTAGCATAAATGGGCTTGCTTTCAATAGAAAATGGGACAGTTTTCAGAGGAAAAAAAGGCCAATTTGTGAGTAAAAATGGGCCTTTTTCTAAGCAAAAAGGCTTATAAACGTGAAGTGATAAATGAGTTTGCAAGTTTTCCATACAATAATAACAACTTCCTAATGAAAATAATGAAAAAGTTGCATCTAGGGGAGGGGAGAGAAGTTCCATTCAGGTTTTAATATATTGGAAACATTTTAGAAAATAAATATATGAAAACTGTAAATTTTTTTCCACTCTGTAATCTGAATTTGTGTCAGAGACATGTCAGTAATATTTCTTTGTGTATATTTATATGATGTTATAAATCAAAATCCTGCTCTGGGTTTGCTGCCTTCTGAGATGAATTTCATGGAATAATGTTGTAAGACTTGTGGAAGTACATTTCTTAGGATCCCCTAAGTGGCAGTGGCATCTGATTTTCTAGTGGTCCATATGGTTTTAGAACTAAATATATATTCTGGCTTGACTTGGTGATATTACATGCAAATATATTGTTTCATAATAGCTGATCTGATGAGCAACTGATATGGTTGCTTCTCTCATGGCCTAAAAATGCTTCAAGATCTAAGTACTAAGGAGTTGGCATCTCCTTGCACACGCTCCAAGACTGGTGTTGTGATGTACCCAGGAAAACGCAAAATGCACTATTTAGTGAATGCTTTCAAATCACTTGGCTACAGAGCAGATTGTGTGACCCGAGAGGTTTCTTTGCTAAGATAGATGTGAGAAATAGGTCTTTTAAAATTTTAAATGACAAGATATTCTCTGCTATGGGATAAGTCCCACTTCAACTTCCTTGATTGTGCTTCATAAGGCAGTGTATGGGTGGTAGGCAGAGATTGCTGTGTTGCTGCTTCCTTGATTGTGCTTCATAAGGCATCATATGTGCTTCATATGGGTGGTAGGCAGAGATTGCTGTGTTGCTATATGGACTTTCATACCAATTGTCTCCCTGCATGTTAATTCTCTGGAAAAGTGTTAAGTGAAGGACATAGGATGAGTGATGTCAAAGGTGTGCAGCCTTGGTTCTTGTAAACACAGTTGGCTGCTAAAGCTGGTCAGAGGTTATAAAAGGCCTCTAGCAGTGGTGCCCTAGCCACCCTTTCAGGCAGCATTATGTTGCTTTGCCTCTAAGATCCAGATTTATTTTTTTAAGGAAGTTTTGAAAAAAACATTCCTGAGCACACGTGATCTTCTTGCTGTATAGTTCTAAAGGTGACTGCAGCACTTTCCCATCTGTGTCCTCCGTTGATGATACAGCAAGTATGGTCTTTGGGCAGATGGTTCCATATAAGGCAGCCATACAAATGGGGAAGTTATTAATTTTAATGACATTCCCAGTCTTGTCTCCAGTGAAATCCATGTCAAAAATTCTCTACGAGTTCCATGGGAGCAGGTTCTGATGCTGATAATAGCTCCCTTTGATGGGATATATTACTACCCCATTGTCCAGCTTACAAACAGATGTGCTCTCGTGCCTGATGCGAGAGGTGAATCAGAAATGTTGTCACATTCCCATTGCAGAACAGTGGCCACAATTTTTTTTTTCCAAGTTATGACTGTCTTTCAGGGGAGGGAAATTAAGGATGGCTTTTTCCATGGACCTGTGCTGTTTGTTTCTGCAATAGATAGGTAATCAGATAAGTAACCGTGGCATAGGAATCGGGTATTATAGATGTAAATTGTTAATGTTACTATGCACATTTACTTTGTGCAATAACCAGCAGTTGTTGCACATTTTAAAAACTGCTTTCTTGTTTCTTACAGTGAAGCAAATTTAGATTACCATTCTAAATGCTAATATGCAGAATGAATGCAATTTAATAAAATAAAGTGAATTTATATGTAGATTGTGACATTAGTATTTAATTATGTACCCATCATAACACTGATGAAGCAAGCTGCTAAATATTGGTGCACTGAAGTGAGAGCTTACTCTTAAAGAGCAGATATATTTTAATTTCTTTCCTCTTTCCTAATCTCCTTAAATAGCAGAATAGATTATGTGCTGTTTACCAATATTCACCTGTATTCCTTCCTACTATATTCCAAATAAGGTTTCCATCATAGCAGCTGAAGATCAGAGAAAGCTGTGCTTCTGTTTTGGTAAAACACTGATAACAGATCCATTTTTATGCTATATTGCAGCAGCCAAATTAAGTCTTAGATTTTTTTTATTTATTATTTTAATGTGAATTAAAAATAGTACATAACCTGTTGTGGGGGAGTTTTTAACCTTTCCTTTTCTGTTATTTTTTCAGACTATGGAAACCCCAAAATATGAACTGGTTATAGAAGCTAAGGATATGGGTGGTCTTGATGTGGGACTAACTGGCACAGCAACTGCCACTATTCTTATTGATGACAAAAATGACCATCCACCAGAATTTACCAAGAAGGAGGTAAGAATTTGCCATCTCTGTTCTACAAAACAGTGCATGTAATTATAATTAGCTTCTTTCTAAATATAAAAATCTTTCTTAATGGAAGAAAATACTTAAAGTGCAACCACAAGGTAAAAAAATTATGTCAAGAGATATCATTCTGAGGTTGGTTATCAGGTTGGCAACTTGTAATTAAGTTTCTTAGTGGTAACTTTCTCCTTTTGCTCCCATGGGTGAAAATGGAGAATTCCCTCCTGCCTTCATTCTAGCTTATGGCTTTTGGTGGTCAGGAACATGGATGAAAGCAACATGTTTTGTCCTGGCTTCAGTACTTCACCTGTGAGACAGCTAGTGTTGGGGGTTCTGTAATGAAAGCTTGAGTCCTAAAAGCTTTAAAGTTAACCTACAGGTGGAATTTGTTTTGTTTTTTTTTTTTCCTCTGCAAGTTGAATTCCACTGGAGAATGCTGAAAAGTCTGAAAAAAACCCAAACAAAACCAAAAGTATTCAGTGCCTGCAGGAGAGTGTAATAGTGCTGCAGAAAATTTCTGGTTTCAGGCAAAGCATCTACCAAATTTCCTGCCCTTCCTATATTGCTCCCTTCCCTCCCCTACTTCCCCCCACCCCCCTCTCGTATTTGAAGGGAATTAGAGAGTGTCAAAAGTTTTACCTAATAACAGCTAGTTTGGATTTTGCTGTAAAAGTTTCCTGAGGCTCTGCAGATTTTAAGGAGTATTCCCAAAAGATAAGAAGTAAGCATCAGGGATGCTGATTTTAAGGTAATTTTAGAAGAAGAACAGCAAAGCCTGTTGCTAGAAAAGTCTTGGTTTTCTCCTTAAGGTATGTTTTTACCTTTTGTATTTTTTTTTTCTGGACTAATTTTAGCAGTTTGACAACATATTATTTTGAAACAAATGACTGCAATTGTACTTGAATAATTATGTCTTTTATAAATGCAACTGGATAACCAGATTAAAAAAGGATAGAGGAGGTTTAAAAAAAAGGGAATAAGAAATCAGAAACAATGACATTTTGCCAACAGGAATATTAGTTCTCACTAATCAGTGGCAATAGATATAATTACTTAAGTAAAATGCTTTGGCAAAAGCATTTTAGTCACCTTAAAAGTACCAGAGAGGCTGATCCAAACCTTTCAAGTACATAGCTGATAAATAAGTGGTTTTGATCAAACTATTAATCCCCTTAGAATTACCCTTTAGATTATGCTTTTCATGTTCTGAAAACTGTTTTCTGACAACCAATAGTTAGAATATGTTTAAAACATTGTGGGTCTTTAGTCCTCTGGAACATAACAATGTATAAGGACAACTCAGTGTATTTAGAAATAGGAATTTTATTAAGCAGTGTTGATAGCAATTCATGTCATTCAGACTCCTACCTACTTGAATTTCCAAACTTTAAGATTATTTCTTTTGAAGAAAACATTTTATAGTTATATATCTTGTTTGACCTAATAGTTTGGTAAGCATATTAAACAACTTGGGCATCTGTTTAGCCCCGAATGTACTGTTAGTGTCTGTTTCTGTGGAAATTCAGAAATGGTTATTAATTCAGTTGAATCAGTGATAGTAAAAGGTTCTCTGTAACCTTGAAAGTCTAGTGGTTTCAGTATAGAAATACAATAACAAGTGTGAAGAGACAGCATTATGTAGCTTTCTTTGAAAAGTCTGATCTTACACGTCTTTATTGCACCTTAGATGATGTACAGATTTTCCTAGAGAGACTTCTCTTTTTTTAATATTGTGACATGGTTTTGAACCTACCACTATTTAGAGATGTTAATGATCTAAGAAATCTCCCCTCTCTCTTATTAAGTTTTATTCTTATTCCATGAATAAGGCAGGAAGAATCAGTCTTTAGATGTATGGTGTTAGACCCCTTTAGAAACATATGTTTTATTTAAAGTAAGTAGTGTAGGAGGAGGGCGAGTGTCTATTAATAGAACTAATGCCACTTTATTTGGTTCACTGCTTAAAATATTTATAGACCAGTTGCATATACATGCTGCAGTACTATTGGATTGAAGAAGACTTGAAAGAAACATAGAAACTAGAAAAACATATTCTACAAGATGACTTTTGAAGTAGAAAGCTCAAATTCAGTAAATCTGAAGGTTTGATTTCAGAGTGCATCTTTTCTTTACTTTGAGATTGGCTGCTTTAGGGTTGGGCTTTTATAGTATTGACATGTTTTCCCAGCTGTCTTCCTTCTCTTTAAAGATACTTTCTCTCAACGCTTTTTTCCCCTTTTATTTACTAGCTTGTGTTTTATTATGACAGTATAATTTCTACCTAAAATACCTCTATCTTTATTTGTCATATGCTTTTGATGTAGTTCGATTAATCCAACTTTTCAATGCATTCTCTTCATGTGTAAGCACAGTGGCCAAATTCATTCCTGATCTGACACAGTGAAAGCCAATGAAGTTATGAGAGCTGGATTTGTTCAAAAGTCTGGACAGTGTATAAGTACAGCACTGTGTGCCCCAGACTGTGCACTAGATGGTGTTTTGCAGAATGTAGAATGCATTGTTATATATCTCTTAATAAAGATATATATTATTTCAATAATATTAAAGCCAAGAGAGAAATTTAACGATTTTTTCATAGCTTTATCCAAAGTTGAAAAATATTTCTATATATTTATATTTCAAATAATTCTTGTATTTGTTAATAGATATTTCTTAGAGTCCTCAGTGCAAGGCAATTTCAGCCATGCATGAGCATGTCTCTGTCCATTGGAGATTTATTTTATCCTTCAACACTTGATGAGTCTCTTCCTCTTTTTTCTCCAGAAACAAGTTTATGGATCTACCCCTAAGCAGTGATACACTTCTGTGTACTCCTATTTACTGTGTTTGTTCCTCGGAGGTCAGGTCCTTACATGTCAATTCAAAATACTCATTAACGGGCATTATTTGATATTTTCAGAAAGGGCTAAAAGCTCCTTTGTTGCTGTAAGCAGTTATGCAGTAGCCTCTACTGGGTTGTTGTAGATCTTGCTGGAATAGGAGGTATTTATCTAGTGAATCTGTTCTTCCATCTGCTATTTTTTTTCCCCTGCATACCACACTATGCTGTTCTGATGCAGTTGTGGCCTTCATGCTTAGGGAAAAATTCACTGATGGTGTATCAGGGCATAATCACAGGAGAAGCTGAGCAACCTGGCTGTGATCCAACACAGCACTTCCATTAACCTCAGAGGAATAGTTTAAGCCCTTGAGGTTATAACTATGTGTCAGGTACTTTGATGGGTTAATGTATGAGATACTTCTTTGTGGGATTCAGACCAGTTAATTATGTTGTTATTGCCCCATCAACCTACACACCTCCAAAATATCTGCCTCGTTCTGTTTCACATATATACTCACCCTTACCATTCAGAATAGGCTCTGAGCAGTGCAAAAATCCACTCAGATGTACAAACAGTACCCTGTGCCCTCCAGGGGTTTAAATAATTTTGTCTTTAATGCCTAAAGAGCAATATTTTAAGAGTTCCTCCAAAAATCCCAGGTGAGGTAACAAGGTCTACCTTTTAAAAGGTCACAATGATCGGGATATTTTGCCAGATTTAAATTATAGGGAATGAAAATAGAGATACTTGTAAAGTTAGTGGCCTTTTTTCCAGAAACTTTTAAAATTTACTATATTATTTTTGTGACTTATGACTGAATACAACGTGTATTTTGTACCGCAAAGAACAATTTGGCATTTTCTTTCCAGCAAGTTAAGAGCTTAAGCTCAACTTTTTTTCATCAGCAAGGGATCACTTGAAGTGAAGCAATACAAGGAGTAGGAATTGGTCATTCTGGAAAATCTGGTACCTGGTTTGTGTACTGCAGAATATTCAGACTATAAGCGAATGAGTTAAACTGGGTGAATGCTAATGGTGCTGATTATTGTTTTTATACCTAGCACATCAAGAAAAATGAAAATTATTTTCTTGTGTCACTTTAACTATTGGTGATAGACCACTGTAGTGTTCTATGCCTGCAAAACAGTGATTTTAGACTATAGTTAATGTCACTGTGGTTGAAGTGTGATGAAAAACTAGCAATGTAGCACCTGCTGGAAGCCACAAGCTGGTGAATTCTTCTCTTGTACCTGTTTCTGTGGAGATGGTTCTACCCAGATCTTCCCTAACACCCAGTGGACAAAAAAACATTGTTTCAACATGACAGTATGGATTTCACCTATTAATCTCTTCCTCCTCCAGAAAAATAGTACAACTAATTCTACTTCAGGTCTTATAAGGTTACTGAATGCACAATATAAGCTCAAAAATAGGATCCACTGAGTATATTTGCCTCCCTCTTCTGGCTTCTGTCCTGACTTTTTAAAGTATCTGTTCACAAGGAAGAAGCTTCCATTGCTGCTCTTTAGTAATACTTTATTTTACTTCATATTAGATATATTTTCTTTCCTTAGTAAATGCTATCAGGCACTTGAGAGAAGAATGCAGTGATGTGGCTTAAGGGGGTGATTTTTCTACAGTCCACCTCTTTCTCACATCTATCCTTCACCACAGATACGGGACAGCAGCATATCCCTAGTCATACATTGAGAAGTAGTGGGGCTTGTCAGAGTGCTCTCACTTGCTCCTAAGAAAGAGAGACTTCATTTGCACAGGGAACAGTCTCATTCTTGAGAATATTCCTCTTTCTGCCACTTCCATCCTCACCTTCAACTACATCCATTTCTGGGACAAAGCAAGGTAAAATTTAAAGAATTCTGTCACACTGGGAGAGTAAGATTTGGGAAAACAATTTTCCTACTTTATATTTTAGGAGTATATTACTGTAGAAATGAATTTTCCAGTTAAATAAAAAAGGCTGACTCCTGTGAACAGAATAAAATTTGTGTAATTTGACAAAACATCGCCACACTGAAGTTTGAGATATACTAGTGCTGTGAGTCTTAAGTGAAAAATATTATTTGCGTGCATTTTGAATACCTACTGATAAATGGTTTATAAAAAAGTAATAAATGACTAATGTGT